TCTCATTTCGATCTTCCCAATCTTCCCCCCCCCCTGGCGAGAGCGGGAGAGAGAGAGGGCAAATTTTGGTGCAGCTAATGCGCCGGGTCTCTCGCACACACTCTCTCTCTCTCTCTCTCTCTCTCTCTCTCTCTCTCTCTCTCTCTCTCTCTCTCTCTCTCTCTCTCTCTCTCTCTCCCCGCGCCCTCATACTATTTTTTGCTTGCCTTTCTTTGAAAAAAAAAGGCGGTTTTTCAGTTTTTTTGGTTTTCTTTTTATATATATCGTCACAAATAGAACTGCCCGGTAAACCGTAGGCAGAGAGAGAGAAGAGGACAACAAACGAGGGGCTGTGACAAACTGTTTCGTCGGAGTTTCACCGACTCATCATATATATATATATATATAATATAATAGTGTTAAATACTAGAGTACTGGTCGGGGGACGGCCAACCTCCTGAAGTAGCGGCCGTTAACGCGCCGCGACTGAAAAAAAATGGCTGGCCGAGGTCCTGATGGTTTAACTTCCTTTTCAAAATAGATAGCATGCGCATTTGAACGGGGCGAAGGAAGAAGGAAGGGGTAAAGGAGCCGGGTGGGGGTGGGGGTGGGGGGTTGAATCGAGGAGAAGGCGGGTAGGAGGCAGTACATCTATTTTGGAAGACTGAGAAACCTTCAGCCAAATTCTTTTTTGTATCGTCTTACCAGCTAGGCCAGCAAAGTGAGAACACCAAGCATCTGTTGTTCTATTTTTGTTATTAATTAAAAAAAAAGAACATCCCGCATGCTGCTGGTCATGATGGTCATGATTTTCTTTTCAAGATGCAGGCCATAATAATAATTCCGTTGGATTGCCAACTGTGATACGACACAATGGCAGCGTGAACGACACAGGGCCTCGTCACACCACTCACGAAACGAAAAAAAAAAATGCGAGTGAATTTTCCCCCAAAAGGTAGCAAGGTACAGACGTTACCATTCATACTAACGGATATATCTTGCCACCTTTTGTAGGAAGAATACGCACTTGCATTTTATTTTATTTTTAGTTTCGCAAGCGGTGTGGTATCTTGCCACCTTTTGTGGGAAGATGCACTCGCCTCTTTTTTTGGGGGGGGGGTCCGGTGAGTGGTGTGGCGGGATCCAAAGAGGGGCACCCCCACATCCCCTCATCATATACCCACAACTAACTCAATGCTCATGCAAGCTGTGACAGAAAGGGGGATAATAGAGGTAGGACCTGGACGCCACACCAGATATCAATATGTGAAATGGCAATTTTTAAGTGGAAACATACACGAAGAACCAACTGACCTAGCTCAGTTGGTACACCCCCCCTGGACTGAACTTTTGAAATACTGACCTGAGTTCGAACTCCACTGGAAGCAGATGAATGATATACTAGAATTGTGAGGATATACTAGAATAGTAGGGCCGGTCAGTTCAATGCATGAGCATATGGGCCAGATCCCACTGGCAACGTGGATGGGAATAAGCGTCTGAATCTGGACGTGTTTGTGGAGATGTGCAAAAAATTGTGACTGATCTGCTTTTCTGCATGTGTGTGTGGAACAGGTCCAGATTCAGCCACTTATTCCCATCCTCTTTGCCAGTGGGATCTGGCCCTATCTCAAGGGCCGTCACCCTTTCAAAAAAAAAGAGGAGGACCAACGGGTCTACCTTCTTCCCCCGAATACAACGTACGGTCATTATATCCGAATTTAGACTGAAAGATACCCCAAATACAGCTATAATGACCGTACGTTGTAATCGGGGGAAGAAGGTAGCTCAGCTGCTATACCCATAAACTGTTGAAATCCACAGACAGACTCGAGTTCGAAGCCAGATATAATCAGATGGACAGAATAAAATAATTCTGAATCACCTTTGAAAAAAAAAAAAAAAAAAAAAAAAAAGAGGAAAAAGGAAAGATACACCATCATGTTTTTTTGTCGTTTTCACATTTGGTGAGTGCGTTTTCACATTTGGTGAGTGGTGGCGGGGAGAGGGCCAAAGTCTCATCGTGTTCAAGGAGATTTCGAGCTGGTCAGACTCTCGACGAGTTCTTATTGGCAAAGATATTGTTTGCCGCTGTACCCGGTCGACGTGTGGCTGAATGGTACATACACATGTACCTGTTGATGAACAGATCATGGGTTCCAATCCCGCGCCAATCAGGTTGATAGCTGATCGTACACTCGACCGAGTTCGATCCCATTGGTAAAAAGATTGCCACTGTACCAACTGCACAATCCGATGGTAATAAACTGAAAGATAAAGTTTTCTAGGTGCTAAGTTGTTGTTGTTTTTTTTTTTTTTTAAAAGCTAACCCCTCCTTGCCTTTTTTTTTTCTTTACGTTGCTGAATTGTACACAGGGGTGCGTAACTAACTGTCTCGACGAACAGATCACGAGTTCGAATCCCGCAGATTGAGACGGATGATACCGTACTCTCCACGAGTTGGCAGTTGTTCCATTGGTGAAAAAAGGCTGGCACTTCTTAAAAAAAA